TATATATATATATATATATATTATGTGTGAAATTACTATAGTCACTGATCACGCTCGTACGATAAATCATCATCATCATTCTATTGTCCTTCTTTATCGTTTCTCGTTGACTTATACAGTCTCTCTCTTTCTCTTTTTTTTTCTCTCTCACTCTCGCTCTCATTCTTACTCTCTCTCGCTCTCTCTTTCACTCACTTTATTTATCTTTTTTTATTTCTATTCTTCTTAACGTAGGAAAAAAGGAAGAATATAGGAATGTTCACACGTTTTACAATAGACAAGTCACTCTCCTTTAACATAGTGAATCGCAATTTTGTTCACATTACGCCATTTTTAAAGCCACTTTAAGGCTTTATTCTTTTTTTCTTTTTTTTCTAGCACCTTTCTAGCATTCCTCGTCACGTTGAATGCTCAATCGAAACTTTTCTATACACTTTGGTTCGCTCACGTTCTAAGTCGAATCTAGGCCATACCATCATACATGCATGCATACACACACATACATACGTACGTACTTACTTTCATGCATATATATATTTATATATTTATGTACATATATGTAAGTATATATATATATATATAAGGAAAAAAATTAGCATCCGTTCCTTCGACATACAATGATGAATTTCGATACTCGATTTCCGAAAAAATGTGTATTTTTATTTTTATTTTAAATGTCTTTTTTTACGTAGATTTCGAAAGCGTAGCGTTTATCACAGAAGGCAGCTATAGCTGTGGGACGATTGCGATCATAGACGGTAGAGTTTGCCTCGTAGATTATGAAAAATAATAAAACAGAAAAAGAGAGAAAAGAGATTTAAGAAAAAAGAAAAAAAGATCTAAAAAATAGGCGGTATGCATATCTAAGTATTTGTCACACCGAATGTGTACGAGTCGATTACTTGAAACTTTTTTATTTTTACGAAGGATTCGATATCATTAAAATCGAATATTTTTATGATTTTTTTTGTCTCTTGATTTGATATTATTATTATTATTATTATGGTAAAGTAAACACGTTGTTCCAGAAATGTGCACTAGAGTTAAGGGCGTTGAACAATATTTTGTTTTTTATATTATTGATTTAATTTTTAATTAATTATTTGTAAGATTTTGTTGATGGTACGGTAAATAAATTATTTTAGATAATTTAATGGGGTAAAGTTTTATCATTGACAAATCAATTTAATTGTTATGTGGGATGAGTAATGATTTGATGGAGTAATTTGTCAATGATTCATCAAATCATAGTAATTTTTACTACGACAATAACTTTAATTTTGTAAACGAACTAATAATAAATATAAATCAATTATATTTGAAAGCACATAATTGTGATTGGTGTAAATAAAAAATTGAATCGTCGATTAAATAAAATATTGCTCGAACGCTGTGAAATGGCGCAATGATGATTATTTTATAGTTTTTACTGATGAGGATCAGGGCAAATATGAATATCGAATTTCACTCGTACTTTAAATATCACTCGAATCAATTTCAGCCCTTATTCGTTGTATCGTAAGAAATAGCAATTTTAACATCGAGACATTTTTCATCAATATCATCAAAAATTGCGATTACTCGGTCGAATGTATTTCGTGAAACGAAAGTTATAATGATTATGACGTTGATTAATTTCTAGTAAATCTAGGGAATTTTCTAATGATTATAATTAAGGGAACTAGATATTGTGGAATATTGAGATATCGATGGTGAGATTTCGTAGAACAATGGAACCCATACAAGTGTATTTTAATTCGCGAGCAAGTCCTTATTGTAATAGGCCACTTCTGTCATAACTGACAGATCTAAAGGCATCTTCAACGAGATCAGTGAGACATCTCACTGCTTGTAAAAGTGCTGCCAATAACAGAGACAAGGACAATGATATCAACTTGCTTGGGACCAAAGCATTGTCCGATGAACTTTGCGATCTACCCGATACCTTTTTTCTTTTTTTCTTTTCACAATTTTTACCACCAGCGGAATCCTTCTCGTGGATTCTTTCCATCGACGAAGAAATCCTTTTTGAGGATCTGTTAGGTGATCTATCACGGGAACGTGATCTTTCTCTGTCAATGGATTCCGTAGACGTTTTCGTTGTTTTCCTATGATAATCCAAAGTGGAAATAGTTGATCTACGATGTGACACCATGCTTTCAATCTTCTTACGAAAATCTTCGGTTTTCTCGTCAAAACCAATAAGACGATTTTCGTTCGAAGATCTTCTTCTTCTTCTTTCTTTATTCTTCTTTCCTTGTTCACCTCGACCGGAAGATGATGACCTGTCCCGACGAGTTTGCAAAGTACCATCGGATTTGGCCTTGTCCGAAGCTTTCAATAATCGATTACTTTTGTGCTCGAAGAATATATTTTGCAACGAAGTTTTCGTATACTTGTCTATAACTTCTATATCCTTGAACGATGAATTTTCATCTAGAGAGTTAGTCCTGGTGTGACACTTTTCTTGACAATGAATTTTCTTTTCCAAACAGGAATTATTTAAATTATAATCTACCGTAGGATCTTCCGGTTCTGACCAACATAATCTAATATTTTCTTTATTTTCGTCAATGACTGTACGTCTCGATGGTGTCTTTCCTAAACTGTTTAGAACGAAATTGACAGCTTTGGCTGTATCAATTGGTATGTTCGATTCTACGGTTTCGTTTTTGAGATCAGCGTTTTCGTTGACCCAGTCGTTACTCGTTTGATCGTCGATTGATTTGGAAGGATTGTTTTCGTCTTGATTAGCAGTGTCCGATGATTCTTCGTTGGAACCACCATTGAATGGACAAGGATTTGCGTCACCGTCTTCGTCGTCGTCATCCTTGATGGTTAATTTTTCTTCGACCCAGGCTTCTTCTTCTTCTTCTTCGTCCTCTTCTTCATCCTCCTCTTCATCTTCCTCTGATTCCAGAGACAACGATTTGTTTCTTTTTATCACCGGTACGATGCTATCAGCGTAAAGAAGATCCTGCATCTCGTATAAACTTCTCTCGATACTTGGACTCTTGTAAAGAAGATTTCTTAATTCAGGTAAGTCTAAATCTTGTACGTGAAGTAAATTTTGTTCGATGTTCAATAAACTCTCTTCGATTTGTACAAGACATTGTTCTATGTCACAACTAGTGTCTTCCGATTTGTTATCTAATTTTTTCGAGAGAGGAGAATTAGTTGATTTTTCATGTTTATCTTCGACCTCGTTAGTAGTGTCTTGATTTTTGTCTAACTTATCTTTCCAGGATTCGTTAGGCTGGATATCCTGATGTTGAGTCTGGCTATCATAAAACACACGATAATTACTATGACTGTTAGCTATTTCGTAATTAATAACATCAGCTTTAGGATTTCTCAAGGAAAGACGTTCTGATTCTAATCTCTCGCTACAAGTACGTCCTCTAATACCCAATATATTTTTATCTCCATGACTATTCGCTATAGCGTATTCGCCATCTTCCTGATGATGACAACGTCGACGACGACGATCTTCAGCTTCCTTTTTAGCCGAAAGTTCGGTATATAATCTAGAATATTCGTTATGACTGGTGGACTCTTGATAAGCATTGCCATGGCTGTTGGCAAGTGGATAAATGGTTGAATCATCAAGATCGGAGTCAACCTGTCTGGTCCAAGGTCGTTTAGCTAGTATACTTGACTTATAATTACCGTGACTACCAGCGTCATCGTCGAAGTCTACGTCATTGTCGAAGTCAGGAAAGTTCTTTTCTTGATGAATCACTGCAGATTCGACGCAACCGTCATCGATTAGTATATAACCGTCAAGGGCGTTATCATCCAAGTCGATCCACCGATGAGAATCGTCTTCTTGAGCTACATTAATTTTTTCTTCACGTTCCTTTCTTTTTTCCAATCCTTGACGACGACGTTCTCTGATTGCTGAATCATGCACGTGTATTTGTACCGGGCAGAGGTCATCAGTTTTTCTTTCGTTAGGTGGTGTCGTAGCCATTAATGGTGCGACATCATCCAATAATGCATCCCTATTTTCTCGATATCGATATCCAGGACATGGTGTATCAACTGGCGAATGAGAAAGTAGGTTTACATAAACACCGGTACCTCTGCCATTAAGGGATCAGGTGATTGTTGGACTTCCTTGATTTTGGTACAACGAAGGAGTTTGACTTTCGGTCAAAACTTCGTTGCTCGATCGTAATCGGTTGAAGTTGCATACGATCTGAAACGAAGTGTTAACTTTATGAGCCATCAAACGTTTTTATTGAATTTTTTGGATCACTTTAGCCGAGTGAGATTCAATTGATTATTGACGGGATTAATATCATTGTTGATACTCACTCGACTATGATTTATTTTAGTAATTAATTAATCGTTTAATTTTTATGAGATATCACCTTTGGATGGCTCATCCTAATGTCACGAAATTCATCAGTGAACGTCAAAATATAGAAACAAAATGCGATTGCACAAATCCATTCGGTTACAGTACTAGCAACGTGAAGTTCCCAACCACCGTCAGCTCTGTACCATTTCTGAGGATTAGTACCTACAACGAGGCAGTTCATTATCAAGAAGGATTTATTCATTATGTGATTTACTGTTGTTATTGAATTCATACTATTCACATTAACATAACAAGTTTGATAAATGTTTCAAGCTGACCTTTATATGCCAGACTTGCCAAAACTCCGGTGATGAATATGACGAAGAAGCAGACTGTGCAAAATGTTGATAAAGCTGTTCGTAGATGGGCCATTCTTAATGAACATCCCAGTGGATGCAAATAGAATGAACAAACAGCCTAATAAATAAAGTAATAAAAAGATTTATTATTAAACATTTTAATGCTAAAATATTTATAATAATATTATGCATATTTAATTGTATGAGATTTTTTATACAATAATTTAATATACTAATTTTTGAATTACTTTTTATGTTAATATTACCTGTGTCCAAAAATATGCGGTACCACCACCAAAACATAAAAATGCACCGATCATGTGTACAACAAGGACCGATGTTTCTTGAAAGTTTGCTACAATTGAGACACCTAGGGTAGTCGTTAGGCCAAGAATCAAGGCCCAATAATTCCATCTTGGTAAAGATGCTTGTAAACGAAATGCGCTGGTACATTCTTTCACTTGAGAGTATCTTATGTAGATGACGAGGCACACTATGAAAGTAAATCAGGACGAATGATAACATCCGTTTGATAATACAATCTATACAGTTTTTTATTTCTTCTTAGTACGACAAATACATACATACTATACTTTCGAAGTATAGTAATGTGGTTTACTTACTGAGCGCAGCGATCATGTTCATAAACTGAGCGAATATGCAACTTTCTGGTGCTGAGGTTGCCACGTCTGAGATATAAGGAAATCCTGCTTCTACGTGATCCGATAATACAGCTATGATATACCTAGAAATAAAATATATCTTGTTACATTTTCTGTTTAATCTGCTGTTAAACTGAACTTCATTGGAATGGGTTTTGTTTTTATTTGATAATCTGCTGAAGGTATTAACTTACCTTTTCTTTATACTAAAAGAATAAACTAAATAACTAAATAAACTAAATAAAATAATTTCTTTTTCTATACACCCCAAATTGTGCCACAAAAAATATAATAATAATAAAATAATAACAAATTATTCTCTCTCTCTCTCTCTCTCTTATAACATTTATTTAATAAAATTAATTATTTATATTAAATTTTTCTCTATTGAAGAAATTATTTGTACATAAAATTATAAGCCGTAAAAAATATAATAATATTAAAATAAACAAATATTTCATATATTTATTTCGGTATATAAATCAATAATTTTTATATACGCGCGCACGGACTCATTCTCAAACTCATTCTCAATTCATTCAAAAAATAAAAAAGAATTAATTTAAAATGTTAATTGAAGAAAATTATGTTAATTTTAAATTTATTATCCACTTTGATTTTCAATTATATAAATTCTTATTATTATAACATTTATGTTTTTTAAAATAATGAACTCACGTGACTAAGAATATCGATGGCAAGGAAACGAATAGTATGATAGGTAAATAATGAAGATTAACCAGGACATCGTTTTTATCCATGATTATCAACGTATCGGTCCACAGTTATTCGTCAATTCTTTTTTTTTTATCGACAACCTTGAACGTCCACGATCACTGTGATTTTCTTTGAGAATATTCTGTCGATTCGTGCGCTGAAAATGCGCTCGTTCACGACGAGATAAGATCATTCGTGTTTCTTCCTTTACCCCCACCACCTTCCTCTTTTCATTTCTCTTCACCGGTAGACTTGTTTTTATAGTGATCATTCAACTCGTTTGATGATCATGCCTATGATTATAACGCCAATCTCACTGCCATTTCCAATTTTTTTTCTTCTTTTTTTTCACATGAAACAAATACAAGTGATTATGCTAATGTTTTGTATAATAATTAATATTAATTGTAATTATTTTTTAATTAATATTGAAAAATGAATGAGATATATAAAAATATTTCTAGCGTTAGATTAGCGTGTATAGAAAAGTGAAGTGTTGCATAATTTAAAATAATTTCAACTTACTTCGAGAGATTATGACTTAACAATTTCTTAGCCAGTTTCTTAAGCCAGTAATAATCTTGTCATTTCCAACAAGTATGCTGAACGATCATGTTGAAATTATGGAGGAATAAATTGGATTGTTCAAAACACGTTGCATCAATTCCAACAGCTTATACTTTCACATTATCTATCTACCATCTGTAAACGTATAAATAATAGATAAGCGTAAATCAATATATTATGTTGGTTCAATTTTCACGTGCATGATGTGTAATGCGAGTTACTTATTTAAGAAAAATCAAATAATTAAAATAAAAAATAAAATAATCATCATGTTACCGGTTTGTAATTTGTTTTTCGTAGAACAATAATTAAATTAGCGACTATAAAACACATTGGAATTTTGTAGTTTAGGTTTATTATGTAATACATCTGCCGAATATCCAATCAATTTTTTTGTACTCTAAATTAATTCTAAATGAATCTTTAATTTTTTTTTTAATATACCACTTTATGCCACCAAAAAAATATAGTAATATTATTAAAATAAATAAATAAATCAATGAGATAAAAAAAAACATATATATATATATACAATTATTTTTGAAACACCATATACAACATTAAAAATGACCTATTTTTTAATTTAAATATTATCGAACATCGCGTTTAACATATAAACATTTGTACGTATTAGTGATATGCGTGTTAAATATTGTACCTTCCTGCAAAATCTATACATTTCTTTTTCTTTTATGTCATATCTATACGAATACGTCTCTGCTTTTAAAACGTAGCACGTATCGCGTAAAATAAAGAGAGAGACAGGTGGATGATGCATGTATATAGGTATAAAAAAAAAAAAGGGAAGTAAATGTGTGTGAGTAATAAACGTCGTTTTCTACCCTTCGACGTCATCCCCCACGTAGCCATCGACCCTCTCACTCGTCCATATATACTTTATCGTATTACCGCGCTTTCTGGGATTCCTAACTGTCTCGTCACAACACATGAGTGCATCTATACATATATATGAGAAATATGCATATACCATAAGATTATTTAAAAACTTTACTAATCGATGATGGCTTTTACACGTGCGCCTGCGATTATCACGAGATTTAACTACATTTATACGTATATATATTCATATATATATATTTATATGTAGGGTGTGTATGTGTAGCTAAGTGTGTGGGCGCGTGCATGTGTGTATATATATATAAGAGAGGAAATAATTCATCAACAAACTGCAGTGCAGGAAACGTGCAATTTTTCACACGGGGGCGTTGGCCAGATACCATGGACAATATTGCAAAATATCCTTTGGGAAAAAGGCCACGAGGTTTTTTTCACCCATCACATACCCCCCGTCACATTTTGATTCTATTTATTAAAAAGAAAAAGAAAAAGACAAAAAGGGTTAAAAACAAAAATTAATAACAACAACGTAAAACGTGATAGAAATTAAATTCATGACGCAAGTATGGTTAAAATAAAAGTATTATTATACATGTACCTTTTGTAAAAAATGATTGCAGTTGATATTCAGAGAAACGTTTGTACTTCACTGACATATGTAAACCTCACTGTGTTTCACTGCAGGGAATATTCTCGACGATGATCAAATATTAGAAAAAAAAAAAAAACGGGGTGGAGTTTAGACAAAAGGATTGAAGGAATAGCTTATGAATTTTTCTCTCTCTTTCTCTCTCCCTCTCTCTCTTCCTGTCACTTTTTTTTGCACGTAATGAAAAACAATAATTGCGATGATTAGGGTTGAGAAAAAAAATGTCGTTTGTATTTTTTTTGCAAAGACGAATTTTTCGATTTAATTAAGGTGCGTCGGGGCGGGKAGGATTTCGAAGAGATGGATGGTTTTTTTTAATTTTTTTTTTTTTTAAATACTTAGGGAATAAAAAGGAAACGCGAGATCGCGTTCGTGTGACGTGCACGTTTGAAACAGCACTGAGGTTATGGGCGTCCAAGCGATCGATGATGCGTCGGAGAAGGAAACGGGGCGCTCGTATAGCAACTGCGCCACTGATGTGAGTGAAGAAAACAAACGTCGTTTCAATGCTGTTGTCAATGCTGTTGTCAATGCCGTTGTCAATGCCGTTGCCAATGCCGTTGCCAATGCCGTGTGAGACATTTCAAACCCGTTACGCATTGCCTTGCTCGTTGGTAAACGCATTTTTAAAAATGCCTTTTTTTGTTTTTATTTTTTATACACGATTAAATGTACGTTTTGCCTACTTCGATATCAATGTTTTATCTTTCTTTCCATTTCTTTTGCTTACTATGTAGTTATTATTCGAGTACCGAGAGAAAGATATCGTAAGCGAAGGTCTACATTTCGCAACTTCTATCAATTTCACATTTTCTCATTATTATTGAATTTAACGTTTAAATATTTTCTTCGTTGGATTTGTCACGACAGTCGCTATCAGAAAATAAGTACCAAAACATAGTATTTTATTTAAAAAAACAAACTTGATCCTTTAATCTAGGAAGTGACTAAACTGAAAAAACTGAAGTCATAGTATACTCCCGAATTTTTCATGCAACTTTTGTTTTATAAAACTTTTCTGCTACTATTATATTTTTAGAGCTACAATATCTTGGTGGCAAGAGCTAGTGAATCACCCTGTGTAACGTATGAAGTTTATTATCATAAGCTTATCCGGTTCTGATCAGAAAAGGTCAACACTACCGGTAAGAACTTCCGTTCTGTGGTAAATATTTTTTTTCTAATTGAACGTACGTCGAGTCTTATTTTAATATATTTATATCTCAATGTCGCTAATTCGAATGTCGAATTTTTCATTCGATGTGAAACAATGTAGATTTTATCAATCATTTATTCCTTAAATTTATACGATGAATTTATTAATTACGACGAATGCGATTTAAGTAGCAGTGATTAGACTGTTTCAGCCACTCTGCTTTCACCGAGTTTAGCTAAGACCAGGCAGGTTCTCTCGTTTTTCCAAGGATTAAATAGTAATAAAAGATAGCAAATTGTGTGAAAGGATAGGAAGATGAAGGTAAAATGAAGAAATGATTCGAATTAATGAAGATTGTAGATTCCCGGAGTTCTGATTTACAAAATGTATAATGATGAACTAAGTTAATTACAAATTAAAAAAAGATACAAAGCCTGTTGAATTGCTTGCGATTGATTGTCCCCAGGAATGCTTGGGCTGATTGACGGGTCCGATCCTCTCAGCCACATGTTCTGCAGTTTCTTTATTTTAGCACGTGTTGACAGACAATGGTTAAGGGCAGGGATTACGTGGAGTTTGTTGAATTCTTAAGTAATCTTCTAGTGATTTATTGTTATTGCTTTCATATTTTTTTTTCGAATGATGCGTTTATTAATGAAATCAATCTGGTTTCAAGAATAATTTAATTATATTAATAAAATGGATGTAATTAGTTAATCTTTTATTTATATAACTGCTGCAATTGTTTCCGTCAATTTCTATATTTACTACTAAAAATGGTTTCTATTATCATTTACGTAAATCACTAAAATAATGTCCCTTATAATTAATTTTACTCTACTGCGAAAAATTTAAGGAAGGTATGCATGGCGGAACGTCACAATAAATTAGTTGCATTGCACGTTTTAGAAGCATATATAAATAATTTTATATTGTTTAACCACACTAAAACTATCAAAATCAATCAAAAGTATTGTTTAAAATAAAGTGAATATGATCATTACTATTTTTTTGAATAATATTTTATTTATTTTTTCTAAATTAATGTCGAATTATATAAAATAAAGAAATAAAAAAAATTTGAACAAAAGTTATTTTACCCTTCGCATAATAAATCTCATCAACACGACAATACATTTTGATCGATTTTAATTGAAATATATTTACATTCATTGGCAATAATTTTAATGTTCATTATCTAATCTTGTTATTATCGTTCAATCGATTATTACCGAACAATCGAATTTCAGAATTTAATTCCTTCATTTTTTCTGGTTGGAATAAGTTATCTGTCAACATAATTGATTTTATTGATAATAATTCTAACGATTAATAGCGCAAATAGTTTAGTAAGACATTTGTTTACCTTAATTACAGGCATCTCGAAACGTATTGCATGTAATTCATAAATAAAAGATAATATGAATATACTGAAAAATAATGTGTGACACCATTCTGCAATAACACTTAGAACATGCATCAACCAACCACCGTCATTTCGGCCCCAATTTTTTTTATCGGTACCTAAAAAAAGACAATCATTTAACGATCGAATAATGCATAATAAAGATTTTTAGAAAAATTATTTGTAAACCTTTGAATTGTAGTGTCGCAATTTGACCAGGTATTAAAAATATAAACAGACATATTAATAATATTATGTTTATGATAACTCGTATGTAATAAATGTAAATATCGGATACAGTACCGATCATTTTGTGGGTAAATTTGGTCTGTGAAAAAATAAAAAGAATGTAAACAACATGATAATTGATGTGACTCTTATGACAATTAATATTTATCTCGATAATTTTACTATATGTGCGTTTAGTATCTTTTTTCAAGAAGCAATTAAAATAATAAATACTCTAATATATATGAAGATAAATATTTTTCGTTTTCAGAGAACATTAAGGAGAATATATAAAAAAATACTTCTTCAGATGAAATTTAATTTAAAGTCAAATTTGTTTATAAATTCGTTAAAGAAAATGACCAAATTCAAGGTAATAATTAAATAAATTTGAAAATAATATTTATTAAAAACACAAATGAACATAGATATTAACCTCAATAAATGTATACCAGGTAATACCAAATATATATAAAGCTACACCGATAACGTGTATTTTATTGGTGATTCCAAATGCCGGAAAATTTCCAATTATACTGATACCTATTACTATAAGTGCACCACAGATATTTGATATCTTTTTTAGATTTTTATTAATTATATTTTCTCCTCTATCTTGAATAAATTGAACTAATATCCGATTTCTTAGATATATACCGTGACAGCCTGATAATAAACAAAAATACAAAATTACTTTAGTTAAATAAAAATATTCATATGTGAACGATATTAAATATAAAACTTACCAAAAAAGGCGATCAAGTTTAAACATTGAGAGAAAATACTTATCTCAGGAAAATAATAAGCCATCTCAGATATGTATATGAAGTTTAAGTTTGTGTGATCCAAATATATTGAAAGGAATAATCTATAATAAAAATTAATATTTTGTAATTTTGTATATTGTATATTTTTTCCTTAGATTATAATAGTATATCGTAATATATTTTATTTATATTATTATAATCATAATATGTTATCAAATTAATAGTTATAATATATTCATACGATATATCAACCCACGTAATATATTTTTAATATATTCGACTTACGGTAAGAAACATCCAATGACAGTTAAGACGGGCACATTAATATATATCATCTTCAATATAGTTTTATTTATCATAGTATTATTGTTTCTTCGAACACTGGACAATATATTAAAATATAATAAAGATAAGAAAAAAAGAATTTTAAATAAAAACCAAATAAACAGCTTATAAAATTAGATTTATATTTAAAAAAAAAACAAAAAAGAAAGCAAAATCACAAAGATAAAATTGTTGATAATGATTTAACCTGGAGGTATGGTTTATATGGATAATATCCATTTCTTCTTCTTGCAAGAAACACTTGTCGATGGACTCTTTAGAATGGTTTATTAATGTCTGAATTTTCTGATTAATAGAAATACCTCTTTTACCTATTGTACATAGATCGGAGTTATTATTATTAACGGATGATGTGTCCTGATGATTGTCCGTATTAGTTTCTTTAATGCGTTCAAATTTCCTTCTTTGTTTAAGTGTGGGAGATAAATTTGATGCTTCCATGGTTAATCACGTGATTCGTAATTCTTCTTCTTCTTATTTATGTTTTTCTTCGAATACTATCGAGGTTAACAGAGAAGCTAATTATTAAAACGCCTTCTATGTAATACGAGAAACTTAAAATTTCAATATTAAACCGTCTTCTTTTTTAAAAAGAATTAATTCGCATAATGACAACGTTGTTGTATTACGCTAACGCGGCATGATCACGTACGGCAAAAATACTTCTAACTGTTGCATTTTGTTTTCCGAATTTTTCGAATCTTTACATTTACGTAATTGTTAGTTAAATTTTTTTGATTAATATTTTTTTGTATTGTGTTAATATCTAGCTTGTAAAAACGTTAGTACGGAAATAGATGCTTTAAAGTCATCGTAAAAGACAATGTCGAATAATATTTCTTTTTGAGGTCATACTTTTATTCACGTGACACAAATTACTATCTAATTATGATAATATCTAAACTATTTGCGCAGTCAACTATAGATAAAATTTATCTCTAAATAATTTTTATGCAATAATATTTTACATTAACATGCATAAACGATAACAAAAATAATGCGGTTCTTATTTATAGTTTTTTTTTCTAATTTTTTTTTATTTAACCAAATGTTTTATTTCAGAAAATTACAAAATAAAGTCAAGGTCGATCTTTATTGCAACGTGAAAACATATTTTTGTTGTGACAAACAAATTTCTAATAAAATTTTTACAGTGCTTTTGGATGCTTTTTCTATTACGATTAATTTTCTTTTTTTCTCTATATATTTTATTTTTAAGTACAATCAAATATATTTTTACAATGTCTATATAATTAATTTATTTTATTTTTTTAAATTATTTTGCATGACAATTCTTCGACGAGTTGTCATATTTTATTATAAAAAAGAAAACAAATTGAAATAGTTTAAGGATTATGTGAAATATCAAAATCATTTGTATGGAAATTCTGTAGACGGCTATTGTTATCAAGGGTGCAAATTTAAGTTTTAAGTTGTACGTTTTGTCGGTAGATGACGCTGAAAGTTTTATCGATAATCTGAAAACATTTTCAAGAATTTACGTAATGATACCAAATTTCTTTTTTGGAGATTTTTAAAATTAGAGATAACAATTATACTACAAAACAAAACAATTATTTTATTAACAATTTTGTTAAGTAAGCCTGAAAAAAACTAACGAATGTATAAATGATTTTTGTTGAAATTGTTTATAGCGTAAGCGTATTTTAAAAAACTGGACAAATTTTTAGCGTAATCACCCTGCATACACACAATGTTATATAATTATTTATTTTCTACATTTATTTAGTTGTTTTCAATCATGAAATTGTATGATTTAAACAACTTTGGACATTAAATTGTATTCGAATACGTACATAATCGTCCACATATATATATTTATATATATGGCATCTATATTTTTATAGTATATATTTAATATAATATATGTATGTGTATATATATATATGTATATTTACACTATAATTATAAATATATCGCGATAAATAAATAGATACGAATTATTATCATCTCTGAGTTGTTCAATTCTATTTGTTGGCGAACGTGCACGTTACATTTTGCTGAATAATATACTAGATAGTTCGGGAAGTAATTTCATTTGTTCAATGGTAACAAAAAGACGATTTTTTAATGATTTAAAATCTAAGGCGTTTTGAATGATCATGGACGGTTGAATTTGGCTCCGAATGAAATTTCGAAAAGCTATTTTAACACTGGTGCTCACTTAAAACACCTAAATCATCCTTCTTCGAATATTGTTCTCCCTAAGAAATCATTATTACCCTTATAATGTAAAAGTAAAATATTACAAAAATGCTGACTCTTTGATTTTTTATTTTTAATGTTATGGCAAAAACAAATTACTTGGCGTAACGAAACACAAGAAGGTTTTTAATAACGTCTTAAATGCTTTTTGTCTAAAAGTAAAATGATTTGGAAATTTATCGTTAGGTTAGATATAACGAGAACTTAGATTGAAAAACGAAATTAATTTCAGAACGACCTAATATTTATATAATCACGTTTTATTATAGAACACATTATTATCTCTCTCTCTCTCTCTCTCTCTCTCTCTCTCTTTCTCTCTCTCTCTCTCTCTCTCTCAAATATTATTATATATATTATTTTTATATTTTATAAATATTATATAATCGCGTAGATCATTCGATCGCGTAGACTAGTTTGAAAATCTTTAGCTAGCGTGCCTACGTATTAAAAAGCGCTATTATTTTCTATTTTAAATATCAGTTTTCACAAATTGTCCCTCAATCTTTCGAAAAACTGAAATTATGTATTTTAATATACATAGGATAGGAGTCGTGTTAGTTTTCTTTTTTTCTTTCATTTTTTGAATCCATGGATGGACGGAGCGTGTTTCCGTGGTTCCTTTCGTCGATAATCTCGACGTTATTGTCCTTTTTAAATTACGCCGTTTAATTTCATCTCGTCGCGATCCGATATTTTTTGACGATCACTTTATTCAATTTATTTTTTTTTTAATATTTTATCTTTTCTCTGTCGCTTAATATCAAATTTCAAGAAGGAAAAGTGTTTTAAAAAAAAGAAAAAAAAGAGGAAGAATCTCTATTATCGAATTATCGTATATAAATATCAGAAAAAGCAGACCGCCGCGGTCAGATTGTTTGAAATTTTAATTTATAACAAAATTCTACTACTCTTTTTGTATATTTCTGTCCTCGTTTAGAGTAGATTATATTCCTTTAGTTGTTATTATTATTATTATTATTATTATTATTATTATTAATATTTACGAACCGAAATTGTCCTATACAAAAGATTCGTTCCCGTGCCATTATAACTAAATTATCTTTTTCCTTTACTGGATAACGTTTCTTTGTTCCTCTTCCTTTTTCTTTTCTTCTTCCTTTTTATCTTATTTTATTTTATTTTCTTTTTTTTCTTTTTCTGTTTCGCAGGATATTCTTTAGTCGTTGAAATTACGTACTGGCTTCGTCGATGACCGTAATCGTTCGACTATTAGTGTTGGTAGGCTGACTTCCAAGGTGCCACTTGACGTTCGTATCGTTCGTATCTTCCTCCTGGATTGGTGAGTTGCCTGCCACTGCATTAGTACTACTCGTTGCTTGTTGTTGGCCGCTACAAGCTGTTGTAGTTGTTGTTTGACCAGCCTTCGACCGTGCCAAGGACCACCTGCGACCTCGCCGGCCCATAATAATCGGCATTTCTGCGATAAGATTGTTTTCAAATTCAGAAAGCATGAGGTAGTTTTCAACCTTGTTGCACGAGGTTATACAGTCACCGATGTAATCTAAATCTTCGAGAAGATTATCCGGCAGATCCATATCGGCTATACCTTCCTCGGAAATACACGTAAGTTCTGGTTTGTCTGCTCCCAATGCGTCTATCATGTCACCTAATTATTTCGTAATTGTAATTATTTAATTAATCGTTTTTGTGCGATAATTTGGAAATGTTTTTTTTTTCTTATTAACACAAAATTCAAGAAAGAATTTATTCAATTTTTGAGATCATTGATAGTTGATAACATTTGGTATTAAATTTGATTAATATTAATAGCAAATAATTTGTTAATAAATAAAGATTTCTTTCTATATATTATTTTTTTAACATTTTAATTTTGTATTAATTTGATTAACATGTTTACCGGGTGTCGGTCCAAGTTCAGCTCCAAGTACAAGAGCAGCAGCAGCTGCACCAGCAGCTGCCACGTGCGTACCATCATTTTCTTGTTCATGACTGAATGACGGTCTCCGTTGTTGAGGACAATTACCAAGAACGCATAGATGCTTGCTACCATTTGCTCTGGTATGCTTGTGTTTTGATAAATTTCGTCTATGAAGATCTATGAAGAATAAAGTGAAACTACCGACTAAAACGCAAGTCGAGCTAAAATAATAACCTGCTTTACCACCGCAACCATCATTTATGTATCCTACAAAACAGAAAACACGATTACAGTTATTTTATTAAAATCTATTACGGTTGTTCAAAAAGTTTAAACCAATTTGTTAATAAACATTTCAAACAAAAACCGGTCACGAAATCTACGGGAAATTTAATAGCAAACGCATTGGCGCGCTTATTCGGAAAGTTTTTATATTACATTTAAAAATATTCGTTGAATATTTATATATTTATTAATATAGGTACGAACTTTTTGGGACAAACAATTTTGTATTTAAATTTGTGTAATAATAAATATCTTTGATAAAGGAAATTGGACATTTCAGCTAATTTTGATTATTACCAGAAATTGGCACACCAATAGCAATGGGTATAGCCTGAGAACATTGAACGAATCCCCAAGTTCTGGCAAAATTCCTGGCTCTTACCCTCTCGTACGTATACATCTTAAGACTGTAATGATAGCCACCACAAAAGATGCCTGAAAGAAGAAGATTACCATTTTATTGCTCGTAAATGGATTCCAAGTGGTCCCTATTATGGCTACCAGATGGAAGGAAGGATGGTAAGAAGTGGACGGTAGGAAGGATGGAAGGATTATCAACGATAATAACGAATTTTATTCATTGATCTGTAAAAACTGCTCATTTGAGTGAAGTGTTCCACTTGACAAAAAAGGATTACGAAAGATGAATTTTTCTGGGTTTACGATTGAATATATTCTTAAAATGTATTCCGTTATAAGATATTTTTAAGATTCTAACGATGACGATAAGAATTCCGAAATTTACCGTAAATCCATGTGAACATAACGTATCCGTGATAATTTCCTTGAACTGCGGTAAGAGCAAGAATGCAAAGCCCGCATACGAATACAGCGGCTTGTGTAAGGTATTGCCTTGCAATTCTGCACTCGACGTTTCGATGAACGACCAAAAGACCAAAGGCAACGCAGCCAAGGGTCCAAGCCAATCCGAGATAAGCTTGGAGTAATACAACGGTGTCACCGAGTCCTTCCTCTTCCGCTTGATGAGCCTACATACATAAAAAAAAAAAAAAAGAAATAAGAACCAATTATTATTGATACCTGATTACCTGAAGAATTTGCAATAACTATAAAAATTAATGTTAACCAGATAAAATATCGGCGTGTTAATCCCGAATGCTGATATTCCTGTTGAGACCAATAATATTCTCACGGTTTTACTTTTGAGCGTGCTGAAATCAAAGAACGGTGGTCTGTCGTCGGTTTTGTTTTTATCCTTAATCTTTCTCTTTTGATTCTTCAAATGTAATATTGCTCGACGTTGAGGATGATAAAGCGAAGCACTACGATAAAATGTTCCTAAAATGAACGTAAGGAAGACAACACCTGTCACCGCTTGAAGACCCAGTCGCCAACCTATTTTGCTGTAACAATCGTGAACATTTATCTATCTATCTATCTATCTAGCCTTCTATTTAATCTGATCTTTTTATTATTTAGATAAGTGATTTAGAAAGAAGAAAAGCAATTCACCTAATGGTGCCTTTTATAAAGGCTGACATGACTGCTATACCCAGACCACTTCCAGAAACGATGAAGATTTCAACTAGTTCTCTTTTTCGTTTGAAATATTGTGCTACCATTAGTGTACTGCAATCTCTTGTCATACTCACACCTATGCCTGTTAAAAAAATAAGAAAAAAAAAAAAAGAAAGAAAGAGGGTTTTAACAAATGTTGTGCGAATCATTCTTTTTAAAAAAAGTGATTGAAATTATTTCAATTAAATGTTTTGAATATTTCAATTACTTAAGCGTATCATTTGTTTTAATAGACTCGTTGGAAAATTACATTAGGAGGCTTCCTGTATTTTGTTTTTTTTTTTTGTACCAGTTTAGGATACGATTCTTTTACTCACTCACCCACCATGGTACCATAGCTGAAGAACAATTGATGAAATTGCGAGGCGAAGGACGTGAAGAGGCATCCGAGTGCCGTAACGAGGCCACCCAAAACGGCCGTAACTCTGGTGCTTTTTCTTCTACAAAAGGCTATCGTTACGGGTGACACCAGCAAGGCTACGCCAGTGGACATTGCACCGAGCCATCCTGAAAAAAAAAAGAAATTCAATTTCCTTAGTACGTGTTCTTAAAAATTCGTTCATCGTTAAACATGACAAATCACTTTTAATACGTGAAATATAAAATTTACAAATTTATGTATAAAGTTTTTTTCTCCAAAGGACGTTTAAGAAATCCAAGATTTGCAAATTTCATTCCTAGAAAATGTTATTTTAATTGATCATTATTAAACACAATTTCAAATCATATTTTATATAAGCCCCAATAAAATGAAAAAATAAATATATAAAATTTTGGAGAATTTTGGAAAATTCGATGATCTTTCAAATGTAAATTGTGTTGATAAATTATATACACATATATTTTTTGAAAAATTATTTATAATATTAATCAGATAAAAATAATAGAAATATATAAAATTTGTCCGTATAGAAAAGTTTAGAAAAATCGATGAATTACAGATGTTTTCGAGTATGTTTTTCAACAAAGTTCGACGTTCTCGATGTCAAACACATCGAAAGCTATTTCTTTCGGATGCTCAACTTTGAGCTACTTCAGTATTCTTCGTCATCATATTACATATATACTTTGGGTCGATCTATTTATCAGAAAATATATACAATATATACAATATTCAAAAATATTTGTAGACTTAGCTAGACGTGGGAGTTCAAAATTGATTCAACCTCGATCTACATAGATAATTTATATGAAAAACAAAAAAAAATACAACACACACACACACACATACACGCACGCATTAACTTGGACTTATCTTCTACAATCAGTTAGAAAAGAAAAAAACCTAAATGCAAATTTGAAAATTCATCGTAACATACGATCGAGTTGATCAATTGATCTACGTTGCTCGTGAATGAAAAATTCAAATGTGTAAGAAAAACACGTAGAATATACGATGCCAGTAAAAATGTCAGCCATTCACAATACGAGCACGTGTTTCAACAACGTATTCGTGTATAGACATATGAAATTGGAAACAAGTTTGATTTTTATGACGACTTCCTGGCAACTTGCTTCGACTTTTCCCATTTACTATATCGTATCAGTTTAAGAGGCCGGTGTGTCTAACGATTATTGTGTTATCTCTCTCTCTCTCTCTCTCTTTCTCTTTCTCATTCTTTTTCTCTTGTTCTTATTTCTAATCCGTCTACCTACGCGTTCGTGTTCTTAATAGCAAGATTAGGAGGTTCCTTTGATTCATATTTTCTTTTCTTTTCTTATCTTTTTTTCAAACGGAGAATAGATTTTATTTTTTATTCTCAAAACGGTCGTAAAGATCGAACATGTCAAGTTGTTCTATTGTAAGAAGCAGGATCGCGATTTAAATACGAATAGATCGTGAAATATAAAAATTTGAGAATTTTTATTAGATTATTTGAAAAACTATTTCGTTTTATCAATGATACAAAAGAAAATAAAAGAGATGATTTTTGTCGTATTTAAACGTTACGAAATTAAAAATTAAATACAGGATGATTTAGTAGATAATTCTAAAAGCTCGTAATTTCAAATACAAAATAAAACGAGTATTAAGAATTTTGAATAAGTATGATTGATTTTTAATAATACCTACGATACCTATGGCTCATCCTATATAATTATACGAATCGATATGACGATTATTTGAGAAGTGGTATCAAGTTTGGTATAATAAATTTTTCTCTTTCGTCTTGAAGCGCCACCAATATGATGAGGTCGCTCGGTCATCGATCAAATTCATGGTTGGGAGTTGTTTTATTAATAATACCGAAGATAATCAACGCAGTACGAAGATAAAGTAGTAATACGAAGGGTATAATAAAAAAAAAATATCTTCTTCATCTTTTTTCTTCTCTTTTTTTTTTTACGGAAGATTAACGTTAAAAATTAATGTTTCTTCTCTGAGCCGATGTACTTTATTAACATTAGTTACATAACCTTGGACAGTTCTCTTTGATTTTTTTTCTTCCTTTGATAAAAAAAGAGAAAGAAAAGTTAAGGTAAGAGTCATCGAGAGAAAATATTTGTATCGTGAGCCAACGTGTTGCGATTTATGATTTTTATGTATCTTAAATAATACTCGTAAATATCGATCACGTGTATTGTTAGATACCTATATTCATTTATTTTGTACGATTATATAATTTTCTGATTTTTTGTTGTTGTAAAAGTAATAATTTTTTGTACTCGAGTGGTTACTTTTTGTCACCACTCGATTTAACACATCAACAAATAATATAAGTGCAAAACAATAATTTTAAATACGTCATTTACATGCATTGTTATATATGCTTCTTCGATGATAGTTTGAACTTGACAGTCGTTGTAATAGGAATATTATTTTCAAAGTTAGTTTATAATAAGTATAGAATACGATGAAGAAATCAGTTCAAGTGAAGATGAGTTCGATTTTTCGTCGATGAACCGGCCAAAACGATCGGTCATTCAATTTCGTACATGAAATACAAAAAAGTGTTATATATATATGTATATATATAAAAGAAGGGTAGTTTTTCTACGTGTAAAAGAGCTGAAAAGTTCTGAGTCTAGTATACAGAGGGGTGCAAATTTTTATCGTGATTTTTGAAAGGTTGCGTCAGGATTACGTCATACTTACACGGAGAATATCATTTAAATAATATTTAATATTAAACAATATGAGAGAGACGATAAAGTGTCATATATTTTAAAGATTATATTTGAAAAACGTTATAAATAATTTATTGAAAAATATAAAATATTGAAATTACAGTAAACTATGTGTATCTTAATAAGATTCAAATTTAAAGTCAAATGATATGGTTATGAATACTCCGATATTTTTTATCTATAAGCAAAATTGTGATAATAATATAATTTATACTAAATTGAAAACAAAAAAAAAATTTATATACACATAAAGAGAATAAAAACAAAGGAGTAATAACAGGGAGAGAGAGAGAGAGAGAGAGAGAGAGAGAGAGAGAGATATATAGAGATAGACGGAAATAGAAACTGAAAAACATGTCGGACCCATGAAGATATCATATCGAGAATATGTTCTCCTTTATTCTATCGGACTTTTATCACAAAGCATTTGCATTTCTTTTACCCACCTCTTTTTACTACTAAACCCTCTCGATAAAGAGGCATGAGGAATAGGGGAAAAAAAAGAAAAGAAATGAAGAAAAAGAACTGAATGGTTGATACTTCGATTCTGTCCAGAGATATAACGCGTAAAGTAAGAAATAGTTTGTTTAGTAGGTTATGGGATAGGGTGGGACGAGGATAAAAGGGAGGAGGAAAATGTTACCGAGAGTATAGGAGAAGGGTGAATTAGGCTTTATGAATTCGCAGGAAAACGTTCAAAACAAAATACCCACCCTCTTTCTTATTTCCTCTTTCTCCTGTTTGTCCATTGGTAAAAATCGAGATCCTTTATCGAAAATAATCAGCGTATATTCGAATAGTTTCATCTCATTTTCTTCCTCTCTCTCTTACTTTTTTTTTTGCAAGGAAAGAAAGAAAGGAAAATAAAGGAATATGCACTTAAGTTTGGTTGCTTAAAGCTTACAATTAGTCGAATGAGAGGGAGAGTAGTTGAAAATGTTTACGTGAGGGTCAACGAACCGACCCTCTAAGAATGTTTCTTGTGCCAACTAGGAGTAACAGGATGCACACCAAGTTTCCTAAGGGTTTATAAGGAATCTCTTTGGCAAGTGTATTCATGAAAGAGTAGGGAGTGAGAGAGAGAGAGAAAGGGATGGAAGGGAATGAGAATAGTTTAATCTTCTTGGGACAATGACTTTTAGCGTCCTTTCTTCAACTGTGAACTTAACCTTCGTAAGAAAGTTTTGATATTTTACTTTAGGAGAAAGTCTAATGTGGTCTCCGTGTAATAATGTATTTATTTTTCTTTTTTTTCCTTAACTTAATTTTATAATATTTATTCATTATTTGCTGATTATTGTATGAGATATCTAGTGAAAAATTTGGTTGATTATTTCAATATACTTTGTTAATACTCTGTAATAATATTGCTTTTTATTATATGCATCTATACATACTTTACTTATCGTAGGAGTATGGAAAATGCTACTAATAGATGACAATTATTATCATAATAATAGACGAAGCATAAAGTGTCATATTATTAGTAGGATTTGTATACCCCTACGATAGGCAAAGTGTGAATGCATGTAACATAAGAAATATAATTACAGGGGCATATATTAAACTTGATTACTTATACAGAATGATTGAAACTAAAAAAAAATTATTGAATAAAATATAAATTATTGCATACTCTCACAGGCTTGATATTAATTACGTATTAACATTATTGATATATATATGAATATATATTAGAATTTAGTATTTTCTCTCGTCCAAAATTATAATTTTTAATGATAAAATATCACAGGGAACTTGGACATGAAAAGAAGTAGAACTTAATTTGATTAAGTTGGACGTTTCGTCCCTTTATTGGGACTTCTTCAGCAACTGGAAAATTTATTTTCTTACATTTCTCATTACGGTACATGCGTTTTATACAATATAATTTATTACATATTACCTTAATCATCAAAGTTCAGCGTCTTTTTTATTTAATTTCAACATATATTTCTTTTTATAATATTCTAAAACACAATACATCTAAAACTTCGTTAGTTTGGTCGTTATTATTTAAAAGCCTCAACAAAACTGTTTCAATCTAGACTAGTGTTTGTTAGCCTAGATATCATCAGTGTAAGGTGTCCTTTATTATTTATGTTTAAAATTTAAATATTCCGTTGTAGATGTGATTTAAGTTATTTGTGTCTGTTCTATAATTTACCGTATTATTATTACATATGTGATATGTTTCGCTAATATTTCTTTTATACCAGTTTTCCTCTAAATCTAGGATAGTTGCTGCGTCAAATTTAAAAGTATGTCCTGTTTTAACCATATACACAGCTAACGCTGTGGTATTGGTTTTGTTCATATTTAGAGGTTTACAATCATTTTTGTGTTGGTCTAATCTTTTTTTTAATTCTGTTTTGTTT